GCCTCATACACAAAACACCCACTCAGCATCACCAAATATCAAATCCTGATTCCGACCACTCTACCATACCAATCGACAGCTACACTCAACCAACAACCCCAAACTCGCCGCCCGACAGTGACCCAATTTCACCGGCTGCATCTAATCGACAATCCATGAAATTGACTCAACTCACCGGCAGCTCCTAACTCACCAGGTCTTTGCAGTACCCAAAGAAGATGAACAGTACCCACGGGGAGACGACGAGCAGACGAAGTCGACACCAGCCTCCCTATTTGGGCCTCAGGTAGCGATGCTGTTTGTTCGTGCAGCAGCGTCGCGACATCATTTGTGCAGCAGCGTCGACAGCAGCATCGCGACGCTGCCACAGTGGGAGGGGGAGGGAAAAGGGAGGAGAAGCGACGGTGGCGGTAGGTGAGAGAGTTGAGAGATGAATAGATTGGGAGGGAGTAAAGAGAAATGAATTAGGTTAGGGTTTGAATAGATTAAGTGTTTAATATTTAAAATAAAATACCTGATTTTTGAATAAATAAATTGTAGACTTGATTTTTAAAAATAAATCTTTAAACCCTGATTTTTTATAATTTCCCTTATCCTAACATCGTTTTAACACCATCGTCGAAATTTATTGGGTATCAAAACTGAACAGGAGCTATCCATGACTAGTTAACCCCTTCTCCATCTCTTTCTTGCACTTTACACACCATTAACAAATTAGTCACTAGATAATTTGTCACTGGATAATTTGTTAGACACCTTACAATAAATCCAACATCACATTTAGCACAATGTTTGCATAAATAAAAGCTTCATTACAAGCAAATTCAACTACTAAATCGAAGGTCAACAAACGCACTACAAACATAATTGACAACATCTTTATTGCCGATTACATAAACATGAAGTTCGACAAGTACAACAAAATTCTTTTAACTCATTCACATGCTTGGAACATATTCACAAAACTTTTCCCTTTCCTTTCCCATTATCCTTAGTAGTTGCTTTTCCCTTCCGAACAACTATGTTGATGGATATCTCCACATCTTGTTCTTCTATTATTTGAGCAACTCGCTGTAACATACATGACAAATTTGGAATCGAATCTTTAGCATTACCTTCCCCACTAGAATCCCCTTCAGGTTTCCACTGGAATCAGATCTTTAGCCTTACATTCCCTTGTTCTTCCCTACCATGACACTTGAAATTCAGTTCCCAAATTCTGTTGTGATAAAATTTCCTTTCCTATTTTTTATTCTCCCACCAAGGATGCCTGCACCAGTTTTATCCAATGTCAAACTGCCTATTCTTTTGTTCATCAACGATGACAATAAGTATGTTATTCAAACTTTTTTTTTTCAAAGTAAGTTCAAAAATGATGCTTCAATTCATAAAATACAATTTGGAACCTGGAATACAGCATTTTTTACAAAGTAATTTCAAAAAGGTTGCTTAAGTTCATAAAAATAACCAAATTGTTGTCGTCTTAAAAAATGAAACTATAATGAAATTTCAAATCATAATAAGCAGATTTCTTTTTAACAAAAAAAATGTCTCTTCAACTTGCTATTCAAATATATATATATACAACCACAGTTTAAGGAAACGCAGTTTTCAATTTCACGTATAATAGCCTTCGACATGAGATTACCTTTACCAGGTGTGGAAGTGGTCAACCAGGAAAATTTGCTCCTTCGCGTTTTTGTGGGTTTAATAGAAGGACGAGGGATGATGGAGGGATGTGCGATTAGGGTTTCTTAATGTGGGGATTTTCGAAATTGAAGGGGAAGCAATAGGGGAAAATCGAAATCCAAGGTTCGTCTTCTTGCTGGAGTTGGGTGGGAGTGAATTGAGGCTGAATCAATTAGGGTTCTAAGGTGTGTTGGTTTTGATTTTGAAGTGAGTGAAGACGTTTGTTTGCAAAAAAAAGGATTCCAACATGGGCAGCAAATGACGTCGTCTGGTGCCAAATAGGATGCCGTTCATGACACATCAGCTGTAACTCAAATGGGATCTTGAGGAGTGACGGATGGCGAGGGACTTTGGTAAGTTCAGTGAGCATTCAGAAGCAAATCAAAGTAAAATGACCACAACGTGACAACATTCAAAGTTCAATGATTAATGAAACTTTTTACTCGTTGATTTTTTCATTCTTTGCTCAGATTTTTTTTTTTTTTTAATTATTTTAAGGGATTTGAGGGGGGTTTTTGAATTGGGGCAGTTTTTGGGCTTTTTTAGAGGCCTTAAAGTTTGAGGCGCCCAAGGCAGTGGCCTTACTTGCCTTGGGCCAGGGCCGGTCCTATACAGAGGGCAATTGATATGTTAGATAAAATGTCCTAAGCTTCATCCAGCTTAGCTACGCAGGATTCACCCTCTGACTATTCTTCGTTGCCTTTTTCTTTTTCTTGTTAGACAACTAATGGAAGCAGCTTAAAAAAAAAAAAAATTGCATTTAGGTTAAACAAGAAAAAATTAGTAGCATAAGTTATTCGGCTTTTGGTGTAACACACGGTTGATGCGTATTCTAAACTATCTTGTTTTGTGGAAAGAAAACAAATTATCTTATTAAGGTTTAGGATGAGTGTAATGTGGCTTCGACAGTGTTATCGGACAGGGAAGTTG